ATGAACAAGCCAATGCAGTAATCAAAGGCTATGGAGGAGTTGTCGGAAACACTGAAACGCGATCAGCACAGAGAAGATGGATGGTTGGAGGCCCTGCTGTGTCACAGCTTGTTACACAGTATGAGGAGGCGTCAGTATTGAGGGATGTCTCAGAGCTGGCCAAACACCATGAACAGACACCCACCTGCCAGAGAATCTTCCTGAAAATTGTCCGAATGTTGACAAGCACGCTGGAGGAAATGGGAAATAAATTTCAAGAAGAATCTGGAGATCTGCTCAGCCTGGACACCAAGGATATAGCATCTCTTGTAGTGCTGATAGGATTGCGTCTCACTTTCAACTGGGAATTCATCTATTGAGGCACACTGAGAGACACTAAAGCATGAAGGTACAAGCTCGTCCTATGCACAATATTGAAGACAAAAATTGACTTCTTTCAGCAAGAATAGCTTAGCACTGTCACCATTGAAGGATAAGGTGTTAAAGGAAGACCACCAGCTTTTCTCAAAATTATTCATTTCCTATCAGAACAGAGAACGCGATCTACATGAGTTCTTCCGTCTCGAGCTTCAGTCATGTTCAACATTTCTGAGTCATGGAGGAAGGCTGCATGTCTGCCAGAAGTCACAGCTAGCAGCCACACTGGAGGTCAAGGTTACACTGCAATCAGGAGGAAGCTGATACAAGAATCTTCATACATTGGATACTATAAAGGGGGGCTTCGAAACAGTCAAGATAAAAGCCAATGACCCAGACGTTCTTTCTCACAATTACAGGAACTAGGACTCAAGGAAATGTGGCTAGCTTTTGGGCAAGGACGAAATCTGAAGTGAGTCTCCGTGCATGAGCTCACCACAACCCTCACTCCAGAGAGGAGCAGTGGTATTCTGTTTTTCCATTCCTTTACAGACTGTAATAGTGTGTCTGCATTCTGTTGAAAGGGCAAAAGGTCAGCATGGCAGACATGGGATGTGCGTCCTGAAGCTGTTGACGATGCACGACTGGAGATCTTTTACAGAAAACACAGAGCCTACGGAGCTATTCCACCAACTTGTGCAGCCCTTGTTCAGCACATTAGACCTGGTGCATACAAGTCAGCATGCATATGGAGCCGGGCGTTGGAGTGTCAGTTTGAAGAGGAAAGTCCTACAGAAGAGGGCTGAAGTATCACCAAAATACCAGTGTGGACAGGCGGACCAAACTGTTGAACACATCCTTCTGCGCTGCAAGACACATAGGGCCCTGAGACAGGAAACGTGGCCAACCCCACTGACGCTACAATTGGATGGCCCAATTTATGAAATACCCGACTTAAGTGTGATGCGATCGAGAAGAAGAAGAAGAAGAAGAAGAAGAAGAAGAAGAAGAAGAAGAAGAAGAAGAAGAAGAAGAAGAAGAAGAAGAAGAAGAAGAAGAAGAAGAAGAAGAAGAAGAAGAAGAAGAAGAAGAAGAAGAAGAAGAAGAAGAAGGAGAAGAAGAAGAAAAAGAAGAAGAAGAAGAAGAAGAAGAAGGAGGAGGAGGAGGAGGAGGAGGAGGAGGAGGAGGAGGAGGAGTATCCTATGGTTTGAGCTCCCAGGAATTACTCAGAGTTGCCAGCAGTTTACGAACGAAATGCCAGTGCAAGACGCAGTGTCGTAGACGATGCAAGTGCTAACAAGTTCAATTTGAGTTTCAGAACAATATGCAGCTGCACCAGCTGAATTGGAGTGATTAAAGCTCAGATGGTCATGATAATGATTTTACATGCAGGTTTATCATACTGTGGGCCTACTTGCTTAACTTACTATCTTCTCATTTCCAATGTCATATTACACAATGTAACATCTTGTTAAATATCTGTAAAAATCAGCAGAATCAGATTTTGGTGGCGTTTCTTTCTTTTAAAAGATTTCCCTTTGTCAGATTCTAATTTTCAATTGATAGAAATGTCAGAAACGGTTTTGGTATCCTAAAAACTGGATAAGAAGAACCATAGCTGCGCCAAAGAGTCTGCGATGGCCGCCGTCTGGGAAAATGACCGCCATTTCAGATTTTTCATGTGGCAGGCAATAATTTATGAAACAACAGCCCAAAAGTAATGTTCATGCCAATTTTGGTGCTTGTATGACAATGTGAATGAACCATAGAGGCACAGATATATGCCTACCAAAGAGCCTGCAAATGGCCGTCATCTTGGAAAATGGCCACCATTTTGGATTTTCACAAGCTAAATGTTCTTTTTATGAAACAACAGCCCAAAAGTAATGTGCATGCCAATTTTGGTGCTTGTATGACAATGTCAATGATTTTACACTTAGCTGCCCCCACTACAAGTGAAAGTACTCCGAAAACAGTTTCTATCCCGTTTGATTAGTTTCAATCAAACCTAGGTACTCTTTTCATAAATGCATGTATTGAGCTACAATCATGCCTTCGGACAGACGGTGTGCCTCCCCAAAAGTTTGTCATGCAAGTCTAATACGGGGTGCCCATTGCGGATGGGATCGGGTCTGGTCGGGGGGCGATCTCCCTGCTCGTCACCTGAAAAACTCATTTGTTTTTGAGGCGACGAGTCGAGAGCGAGCGGCTTGTGCCACGATAGCCGCTTTTCGCCCTCAATCTGGCTAGCAAACCGCCCCGACCAGACCAGTACCCCAGTGGGCACCCCGTATAAGCCTGCCCGAAAACAGATTCCGTTTGATTGTTCTCAACCACTGAAACTTCATAATGCATGTTTTAAGCTAACATTAATAGGCCTTTGGGCAGCATCTGTGCAAAATGGTATTATGATTGTTCTCAAACCCAGATATTTACAACCTAGCTGGACGTTTTGAGCTAGAATTATGCCTTCAGGCAGTGGGAGCCCGAATTTCGAAATGCCAAAACAATCAGTACATGCATACGGGATTTTTTTTCTTGTTCACTTGCAAAACTTGTTTGACGATGGAACGTCGGCCTTCGAAACAGCGTGCTAAGAAATCGACTGCTTAAAGGAAAGGCAGGGGCAAGACGGATAAAAACTCCTACCACCACTGTAGTAGACGAGTAGTCTAGTTTTTGTGCAGACAGCTGCTCAGACCACATGCTAGCCTGTGACAGACTTTCAGTGATCACCCACATCAGTCACTGAAAACACGACAGCTTGTGACAGTGTTTCAGTGATCACCCATATCGGTCACTGAAAACACGACAGCCTGTGACAGGGTTCAGGTGATCACTCCATCAGTCACTGAAAACACTTAAGAGAAATCATCACGGAGTCCAAAAGAAAGATTTCCCCCGAGCAGTGTCAATTGGTGATTGTCAATTTCACTAAGCGTGTCCGAATGTACTTTAGTTAAAAATCTGGGGTATTTGGAAGATATCTTGTAACTTTTGCTTGTGGTTGTTATATTATTATTCTATTGATATTTGTACACAATAAAGCCAGATGAATAATCCACGATTCTGTAAAATATTGTAATACTCCTTTATGCATAAAGATTTTATCGGGGTTCTTTTGGACCACATTTTTCAGGGGGTCATCATTGAGGAGGTGGGCTTCCCATCCTGACTGTCAGGGCCAACCCAGGCAGAGAGGAATACAGCTTTCCAGCCGAAAAACAGATCTTGGTACTGGATACAAAATGTATCCCGAACCAGGAATCGAAGTCAGTTCTCATGAATGCAACAGCGAAGTGCCTAACAGCTACACCATATAGATGCTGTTGTAAACAATTTTCATTTCAGTTCTTTTTCTTTTTTATTTCATCACTAAATACTCGTATGCCCATAGCACTGCGGAGATCCCTTTCCGGGGCATTTGAGTTAGTATAAGATAAGTTTTCTACTCATTCGCTTCGATTATAAACTAAGATTTGTCCTTGGTATTTTGAGGGTGGTGTTGGGGGTTTGAATCGATTTTTTTTCCAAATTCACACTGTTTTCGAAAACAAATTTTGTTGTGTAAATAATATTTCAGATAAACCAAGTAAATGAATAATAAACACATATGCAATACACATATGTGGAACGTGCTGTCAAAATAAGTTACTTCTCGGATTCGAGCCCTATAAAAATAAATACATCACGCTTATAGGTGAAGTTTTAACAATTTATAAGTATGAAATACTAAAAGGCATGTTATACTTAAAGTATATGGCATCAATAGAAAATCTATAAATTTGATCTAATTTGGGCCAAAATCTCCATTCATGAATTATGAGAAATAACTCATTTTGTTAGCACACCTCACATAATATTTTAGAACATTGTGTTGAAACAGACAGCATGCTATTTTATGGGTGAAGGAGGGGGGGGAGGGGGCGGCGGTGAGTTTCACCTGCATGGATATAATTCTGAAATTACATATCACAGCGCAATCTCACTTTGTATAAATATTTCTATATAATAGTATTCTGTAACGTACTACAATATCATTATTATGGTATAGTGATACGTTCTCAGTGAGAAAAAAAAAAGAAGATATATCATTCTGATTTATGACTAATCTTTGACCTGGGTACCCTACATGACACCAAAAGGGCAAGTACAAAAAAAGTATGAGACAAAAAAGAATAAATCTTTTTTACATTGCAGGCTGTGTATTCAGAAACTGCCTTAAAACATCGAGACTGCATCGAATTAATCTTCTTTTTTTTCTTTAAAAAAAAATAATTTCTTGAAAAAATATTTACTTATTTTGCCCAGTCAAACCCATTTCATCTCAAGAATTCAGAAAACTATCCATATAATCAAACATTGGTGATATTCGTCTGTTTCTTGACAAATAGTAGTCATTGTGAATCACAGTAGTGCACGAAAAACTATTTTCACTTTGGCTGTTATGCCTTACATAAAATAATAAACGAACAAAACAAACTTACAATTTATGTTTATGCCAACCTTTATTTTAAAAACCACGTGGAAAGGGGAAAAGGAAAGGGGAATGGGGGGTGAGAACTATGTATTGTCGATTTATCATTCATCCAATATTGTTTCAATCTAATTTTGGCTCTGAAAAATTCAAAGTAACGTGAACATTTTTGAACTTCGAGAGAAGACAGACAGTTCTGATTTCATTTTGAAGAAAGAATCCAATTTCCTTGTTTGTTGCGAGTTTCTTTTTTATCCTTTGATACCCCGGTCGTCCTGGACACTTTGTCACATTCACCCGAGGACAAAGTTATCGCAGTCCCTCTTCATGAAAGGGTCAATGAACTGTTTGTACACATCAGCGGTGTGCACATCACATGACCTCACAATGGCATCCTCGCACACGTAGGCGCTCTTGGTCGCCTCACAAACTCTCTGTAAGAATTATACAAAACAGATCAAGAAAACAGTCAGTGAAGGGGTCAAGCAAAAACAAAAGAAAGAAATCAGAGGCAAAAAAAAGGATTGGGGG